CCCCAAAACCCCAAAACCCCAAAACCCCAAAACCCCAAAACCCCAAAACCCCAGTGAGCCTCTTAAAATTGAACTTAATTTGAGAGGTTAGATTCAGAATATTTCTGAGACAACTCCTGCATCTTCTTTGACCGGAACTTCTGCTTTCCAAGACGGTATTCTTCCTGTTCTGTGTTATTATCTTCATGAAAATCAAGCTCATCAAAATTGTAGCCTAGGTTAGTAGGAGGATTCTCTTCTTCTTTTTCTGGAATTGCTAAGCTATGAGCAGGAATCACATGTGCTTGCACGGAACTTTTCTTCTGTCCCTCCTTAGGACGTTTAAAGTCTGGCAGAGCTTGTTCAAAATCATGCTCTTTAAACTCATGCTCAATAATCGGCTCTACTTTCGTATCTCTTGGAGGCTTAGGCAAAGGGAATCTCTCAGAAGATGGATTATCATCAGCTCCCCCTGAGAAATAATTAATATTTGTAAAAGGAATCTCATTGTTAACACTTCCATTCTCACTAAGGATGTTAAGTGGTCTCTCTTCTGTGTACTCATTTTCTTCCTTCTCATCTAAAGAAGTCTTAAAGCATTTCATACCTTGGATTTGCATTCTCATTCTTGGGATGTCATAATGGCTATTTGAGAACTTATATTTCCTTGATTTCTTGCCTGACTTGGATGATTTTTTGGAAGAAGATCTCATCTTCTTCAATGGCGCATTAAATGAAATCTCCTTAGGCCTCCCACTTGGCAACTTTTCCTTAGTATTCTCCTTCAAACTAGGAGACTTTGAAGCAGACTGATTCACTCTTTTGAATGATGGCTGCTCACGAGGTGATTCAGGTTTCTCTTTCATCATATTTTTGACTAAAATTTAGCAGAGAGATTACTGGCTTTCCGGTTCTGAGTGAATAGAAAATTACATTTCTCCTCTATTAAGTGGGAGAATCTTTTCTCATACCCTCTTTGAATTTCCTTTATTGTTCTATCCATGTTCTCTTCTAGAATATTCTGGAGTTTGGCTAAATTATAAGTTTTTTAAGAAAAATTAGAAGATTTGACTCACATATCTTATCAGCAACAATATCCTTGATCAACCCTGCACAGTTCTTAACATTATTATCTTCGACTTGATTAATTTTATCAGATATCATGGCGACTAGTTGTTGCCTGAGATCATTCCCAGAGGAGTCCTCATTCAAGTCTCGATTCAAAGGGCTCCTATCTTGCTTTAAATCATATTTAGTCCTATTCTTAGGAGTTACTTCTGAAGGCATCTTCAAAAACTCTTCAATCTTGGTTTGCTCCTTCTTGCTGATTTTGAAGGCTTTTTGAGTGATATTAGGAACATTTTTGATATCTGCCAAAGTAAGCACGTTTAGGCCCTAAATTTGACTAAAATCCTTACGATGTTTTTATCAAAATCTTCCTTGTTAAAGACTCCTCTCTCAATACAGGCAATTTTAAGTTTCAAATTAACATGATTGACTAGCTCTTTCTTAATTTTCTCGTTGTAAGTTACAATGGCTCGGTTGAGTTTCTCGAAGATACCACTTGTCGAATCCATGACTTCTTCCTGAACCAGAGTAGAGAAGATGCTCTTCTGAGCCAGATTCATCCGATCTTCATTACGCTTGATGCTGTTATATATCACTTTCATGATAGTGTCTTTCTTGTTGGATTTCTTAACCTTGAAATTCGACTTTGGTGTCACCTGGCTCTGCACTCTGGTTGGTGTCCTTGAGACTCTGGAAGGAGTCTTGCTCCGACTCCTAGACATCCTATTAGCAGATTTCTGCTTTGGCATTGTGCTGTTGAATAATTCCTATATTCTTAGGTTAAAAATTACCTTCTTTACAGAGCCACAACCAGGATATTTCTCTGGTTCAGTCTGGAAATTTGATTTATCAAAAGATTCTAGCTCTGAATCAGGAATTATCTGATTAACTTGGTCATTAGACTGCATCATTCTCTGATCAATTGCAGCTGAGGAGAGCATATAAAAGATTCCTTGGGATTTGGCTTTATCAACAGCTCTCTTACCATACTTATCTTTGAGCTCAGTTTTGGCGTTTCTGCTTATCAAATACTCAACCATATCCTCAAACCCTTGAGCAGATGCTATCATTAGGGCAGTCCAGCCTCTTGAATCCTGGAAATTAATATCAGCGTCAGCGTCCAGTAAAATCTTGACCATTTGTAGATCATTTTTCCAGCACGGTATGAACAAAATTGGCTGCTTTGAATTATTCGTCTTCCCTATAATATCACACTAAAATATCTTACCATTAACATCAGAGCCATAGTCTATGAGGTACTGAGCAATAGAGTGATAATTATTTTTAACTGCTAAGGAAAGTGCTGAGTTGCCTACATTATTGGTCTTGTCAAGTTCCTCCCTCAGTCTCTTCTTCGACCACTTCGTCATCATTTTTTGGATATCATCAAAGTTGCCATTCTCACAGTGAACCATCAACAGAGTGAAGCCGTCACTGAACTGCTCACATTCTTTAATTTTTCCTGATTTCTTCATTTTTAAATTTTCAATAAATTTCATAAATTTTGGGGTTTTGGGGTTTTGGGGTTTTGGGGTTTTGGGG